GTATACACACACGTATCCCATAGATATGTACACACACCGTATCCCAAGAGTGATACACACACAGTATCCATAGAGATGTATACACACACAGATCCCCTAGAGATGTATAAAACCCCACAGTATCCCATAAAAGATGTTACACACCCAGTTATCCCATAGAGTGTATACACACACAGTATCCCCAAAAGATGTATAAAACACACAGTATCCCCTAGAGATGTATACACACACAGTATCCCATAGAGATGTATACACACACAGTATCCCATAGAGATTATACACACACAGTATCCCCTAGAGATGTATACCCACAGTATCCCATAGAGATGTATACACCCCACCCGTATCCCATAGAGATGTAACACACAGTATCCATAGAGAGTATACACACACAGTATCCCATAGAGATGTATACACACACAGTATCCATAGAGATGTATACACACACAGTATCCCAAAAGAGATGTATACACACACAGTATCCCATAGAGATGTTACACACACAGTATCCCATAGAGATGTGTACCCCACACAGTATCCCATAGAGATGTATACACAACAGTATCCCATAGAGATGTGTACACACACAGTATCCCATAGAGATGTAAAAAACACAGTATCCCATAGGATTATACACACACAGTACCCATAGGATGTAAAACACACACAGTATCCCCTAGAGGATGTATACACACACGTATCCCATAGAGATGGGATACAAACCCCACAGTATCCCATAGAGATGTATACACACACAGTATCCCATAGAGATGTGTACACACACACAGTATCCCCTAGAGATGTATACACACACAGTTTTCCCAAGGGGATGTATCCCCACACAGTATCCCATAGAGAGGTGTACTCACACAGTATCCCATAGAGATGTATACACACACAGTATCCCATAGAGAGTGGTACCCCACACAGTTTTCCCATAGAGATGTATACACACACAGTATCCCATAGAGATGTATACACACACAGTATCCCATAGAGATGTATACACACACAGTATCCCATAGAGATGTATACACACACAGTATCCCATAGAGATGTATACACACACAGTATCCCATAGAGATGTATACACACACAGTATCCCATAGAGATGTAACACACACAGTATCCCATAGAGATGTTACACACACAGATTAAAATTCCCATAGAGATGTATACCACACACAGATCCCATAAGGGATGTATACCACACAGTATCCCAAGAGATTATACACACACCGTATCCCATAGGATGTATACCACACACAGTATCCCATAGAGATGTATACACACACAGTATCCCATAGAGATGTATACACACACATATCCCATAGAGATGTATACACACCAGTACCCATAGAGATGTTACACACACAGTATCCCATAGAGATGGTACACAACACAGTATCCCATAGAGATGTGTACACACAAGTATCCATAGAGAGTTACACACACAGTATCCCCTAGAGATGTATACACACACAGTATACCCATAGAGAGTATAAAACACACAGTATCCCCTAAGATGTATACACACACAGTATCCCCTAGAGATGGTAAACCACACAGTATCCCATAGAGATGTATACACAACAGTATCCCATAGAGATGTATACACACACAGTATCCATAGAGATGTATACACACACATTATCCCATAGAGTGTATACACACCAGTATCCATAGAGATGTATACACACACAGGGATCCCCATAGAGATGAAACACACAAATATCCATAGAGATGTATACACACACAGTATCCATAGAGATGTGACACCCCACAGTATCCCCTAGAGATGTATACACCCCACCCGTATCCATAGAGATGTGTACACACACAGTATCCCCTAGAGATGTTAACACCCCACAGTATCCCATAGAGATGTATACACACACAGTATCCCCTAGAGATGTTACCCCACACAGTATCCATAGAGATGTATACACACACAGGGATCCCAAGGGGTGATACACACAAGTTATCCCATAGAGATGTTACACACACAGTATCCCATAGAGATGTTTACACACACAGTATCCCATAGAGATTGTAAAACAACAAATACCATAAGAGATGTTACACACCAGTATCCCATAGAGATGTATACACACACAGTATCCCATAGAGATGTATACACCCCACAGTATCCCATAAGAGATGTAACCACACAGATCCCATAGGATGTATACACACACAGTATCCCATAGAGATGTATACACACACAGTATCCCATAGAGATGGGCACACACACAGTATCCCATAGAGGTTTACACACACAGTATCCCATAGAGATGTATACACAACACAGTATCCCATAGAGTGTATACACACACAGTATCCCATAGAGATGTGTAACACACACAGTATCCCATAGAGATGATAAAACACCAGTATCCCATAGAGATGTATACACACACAGTATCCCAGAGATGTATACACACACAGTATCCCCTGGAGATGTATACACACACAGTATCCCATAGAGATGTATTTCCACACAGTATCCATAGAGATGTTTCACACACAGTATCCCAAAAGAGATGTATACACACACAGATCCATGAGATGTATACACCCACACAGTATCCCATAGAGATGTATACACACACAGTATCCCATAGAGATGTATACACACACAGTATCCATAGGATGTATACCCCACCAGTATCCCATAGAGTGTATACACACACAGATCCCATAGAGAGTATACACACCAGTATCCCCTAGAGATGTATACACACACAGTATCCCATAGAGATGTATACACACAAAAGGATCCCATAGAGATGTTAAAACACAACAGTATCCCCTAGAAAAGGGATACACACACAGTATCCCATAGGATGTACACACACGTATCCCCTAGAGAGTATACACCACAGTATCCCATAGAGATGTTACACACACACGTATCCCATAGAGATGTAACACACACAGTATCCATAGAGAGTATACACACACAGTATCCATAGAGATGTATAACAACACAGTATCCCATAGAGATGTGTACCCCAACAGTAATCCCAAAAGAGATGTATACACACACAGTTTCCATAGAGATGGTACACACACAGTATCCCATAGAGATGTAAAACCACACAGTATCCCATAGAGTTTTATAACAAAACAGTATCCCATAGAGAGGGATACACACACAGTATCCCATAGAGTGTAATACACACACAGTTATCCATAGAGATGTATAAAACCACAGTATCCCATAGAGAGGTTACACACACAGTATCCCTAGAGGGTGTTACACACCCCAGTATCCCATAGAGATGTTTTACACACACAGTATCCCATAGAGATGTTTTACACACACGTACCCCTAGGTTTACTCACCGTATCCTAGAGATGTATACACAACAGTATCCCCTAGAGATGTGTACACAACAGTATCCCATAGAGATGTATACACACACGTATCCCATAGAGATGTATACACACACAGTATCCCATAGGATGTGTACACACACAGTACCATAGAGATGTACACACACAGTATCCCATAGAGATGTGTACACCCACAGTATCCCTAGAGATGTATACCACACACAGTATCCAAAAGAGATGTGTAAAACACAGTATCCCATAGGATGTGTACCCACAGTATCCCATCATGTAAAAGGGGAATTACAGTTGTTTTTCAAATCTTTACAAATAAATAAAACATTAAAAGCTAAAAAGTCTTGAGTCAATAATAATAATAATAATAATAATAATAATAATAAAGGGAAAAACATAATAATTCATTGAAATTTTTAAAAAAATTTTCAGACCTAAGGTGAAAAAATAAAAAACTGTATTAAATAAACCAGTAAAACCAAAAGGGTTTTTTTTTTA